CCATCATCACCACCATCACTATCATTATTATGGACCCCTCCTGAAACCCACCCATGGAACCTGGATGAAAAACCTTTGGCCTAGGGCAGGGTTTTTCAAACTGCATTTTGAAGGGTCAAACAGCATTTTTTAAAAAGGAAAGGAAAAAGGATAGGAAACACCAGAGTACATCATAACATGGAAAGGATACTTTAGTTAAATATATTTGTATTTAAATAGACACCCACAGAAGGGTGAACTGAGTCACAATGCTGAAGAAGAAAAAAAAAAGCTTTTCCTACCAGTTCCTGGACAAAAACAGTTGACAGTCTTAACATACTGAGATCAGAGCTCTGCAATTTCTGAAGCCCTCGGACCCTGGGCATCCTCGAAGCCCCACATCGGCTGAGCCAGGGTGGGGTCACTGCAGGGATGGCTGCAGCAGCCTGGAAGCTGCTCATGCAGCCAAGCCCAGTGGTCCTCCCAGGAGCGCACAGACCCACCAGCTTACAAGCAAATGAGCAACGCCTTTCTGGGGCTGCCTTCCAAACACAGCATCCATTTTTCAAAAACCTAATCAAATATTTACAAGAGGGGACGAGGCCTCATCAGCATGGAGGGAAGGCGTCTGTTAGTTCTCATGAACCACAGCCAGGGGTGGCGGCTTTTTGGAAAAGACACTCAGAAATCCACCAGAGACCCCACAGACCCCCAGGAGCCGCCCCATGCGAGCCTCTGCCTGCACCACCTTCCCCTTCCGGCACTAACGAGCCGTCCTCTGGGGGTGACGTCTCCCCGAAGATACACCTTCGTGGTTGTGATTCTTGGAAACACATCACCTCAAATGCTGGGAAGCCGGACTCCGCCCTGTCCCTGGGGATGCCCAGAGAGGCTGCTCAAGAGAAGTTGGCATCAGACACCCTGGCTGTGCCCCTGGGTGTGATGCTGCAGCTCTCCCAGACTCTCCCCGCCGTGTAAAATGGGATAGTGCTACCTATGGCCCCAGGTCTTACCCCATGATGGGGGGCCTTCTTGCTTGAGGCTGTACCCCACTGCTCAACGCAGAGGGAAGGGAAAG